TTGAGAGTCCAAAGCCTTGCAGCTTAAAACATTCTCCCAGGCAGGGAGTCCAATCCTGCTTTGCTGAACCTTTGAATGAAAAGGATGCCTGGCAAAAAGAAATAAAAATGCTCATTTATTCTTATTTCATTCCCAGTCTCTGGGCCTCTGTAGAGGGTCTCATCATCTCCACCATTTCAGAACCCTTGGTAGAAGGGGATGGAACAAGAAAGACAAGAGTTCATATATGGATTGCTGCATGGTTTCCAATTGTTAATTTAGCCCCTTGAAAAGAGTGGGGAAGCATCCTTTGCCTATTTCCCATTCTATTAGTGGCAATAAGTCCCCAAGCCTCTAGCACATGAGATATTAACCTGTGCTCAAGACATTTGCAGAGACCTACTGTGCCTTGTACACCATGCTACAGAAAGTCTTGCAGGGTAAAGAAGCAGGTACAGATTGCTTCAGGAATGGAGCTTCAGGAAAATGTCCCACTCATTTTCAAGAAGGGGAGGAAGGAGGACCCGGGCAACTATAGGCCAGTCAGTCTCACCTCCATCCTTGGCAAAGTCTTTGAAAAAATTATCAAGGCTCACATTTGTGAGAGCCCGGCAGGACAAATTATGCTGAGGGGAAACCAGCATGGGTTCGTGGCAGGCAGATCGTGCCTGACCAATCTAGTCTCTTTTTATGACCAGGTTACGAAACGCCTGGACACAGGAGGAGGGGTGGATGTCGTATACTTAGACTTCAGGAAGGCCTTCAATACGGTATCCCACCCCATACTGGTGAACAAGTTAAGAGGCTGTGACTTGGATGACTACACAGTCCGGTGGGTGGTGAATTGGCTGGAGGGTCGCACCCAGAGAGTCGTGGTGGATGGGTCGGTTTCGACCTGGAAGGGTGTGGGAAGTGGGGTCCCACAGGGTTCGGTCCTTGGACCGATACTCTTTAATGTCTTCATCAGTGACTTGGATGAGGGAGTGAAATGTACTCTGTCCAAGTTTGCAGATGACACAAAGCTATGGGGAGAAGTGAACACGCCGGAGGGAAGGAAACAGCTGCAAACAGACCTGGACAGGTTGGACAAGTGGGCAGAAAACAACAGAATGCAGTTCAACAAGGAGAAATGTAAAGTGCTGCACCTAGGGAGGAAAAATGTCCA